GGTGTGTCCCCAGGGATCGTGGGTAGCCAGAAGAACTGAGGCGGAGACGGGAATAAAGGCTAACAAATTTTATTCCCTAACAAGTACAGGCTAACTTTCAGAACCGGCTTTTAGACAGGAATGCGCGCTGCTCGTTTGGACAGCTCCCTTTTTATACAGGAGCTGTCAAACGACCAGCCAATCAGGTGTCGAGTGCTTCCCGCTTGAATTCTTTATTTCAACGCATGCTCAGAACATGACAATCAGGATTGCATTTTATCTGTTTTAGAAATGATATACTACTCATCATGGTATTTAAATGGTACTTAAATGTCCAGTACCCTCCCTGTTTGGCCAAGGAGGGAGGATACCACAATAGATATTGGCCAAACAGGGAGGGTACCACAAAGATAACAGCATTGGCCAAACAGGGAGGATACCACAATAGATAAGAGCACTGGTATAACAACTGGTGGCAAGCTCAAATTAATCACCTGCTACTTTAAGGGTTCCATACTGCCTTGATATACCATAGCTCTGTAGCATTGCAGGAACATCAAAAAGGGGATATTCACCCAGTGGAAGGGCAAGACCGCAAAATGCCAGGTTTAGCATTAAGCTCTTCGCAACTATTCCACTCAGGCTGGGTGCAGCCACTGGCTCTGAAACTCTAAGTCCTTACAGCCAATAATTGTCAGGCATTGCTCTGTGGCTGAACTAGAAAACCAGCTGCATCCGTATTTCTATAAGGCTTTAGAGGGAAACATAGAGATACTTTATTCTGAATCACATCTTCCAAATGAAATATAAGCTTTGGCCTCTCTTTGTTATTATTTTAATTATTGATTTGCTAACATTTGTTTCCTGTGGGAGGCTAAGGACTCTGCCTTTATTTTATTTCCACAGTGTAACTCCATGACGTAGGTTGGGCTAAGAAAGTGAGACTGGATCAAAGTCATCAAGTGAGATTCTTTAACAGTGTGGATCCGAGCCTGGGGGTCCGTACACCACTCTTACCTCTCTCTGTCCTCAGTTCTAAGCTTTAATTATCATGTGAATTCTAGCAACAATCCAATGTACCTGCACATTCATTTGGAGATCACCTACAGTACATCCAACCCCAATTATAATCCAAACTTGATAGCAGAGCCACCCACAGCCCAAGGGCTACCACATAGGAGAGAACCAGAAGTATCATAGACACATGCAGTAGCTGCATGAATCCTATTGTGCCATGGAATATCACCTTAGATACAATTCATTAATGGTGTACTGGGGGGACTGGAAGATATGTTAAACATAAGGAGGTAAGTGTAATGTTTATTTCCATGTACAAGTTTTCTTCTTGTCCTGCCTTCACGTGCTTTGGATATATATCAACGCACAATTGTTTGGTCTCTGAAATCCTTTATGGCTATTTGCACTCATATTGTACTAATCTCATGGACTTCAATAGAAATTCCAGGAATTGAATGACAGAGTATCTAAAATTCCCACCACTTTAGATTATTTCTTCAATATGGTTTTTCACCTCCATTTATGGAACATTAGCAGCAACTATTTCTAATGCTCAAATGTTAATCCCACACAGAGATGGAAGAGCAGTCACACATCTTCCACCTTAGCTGTGGAGACTCATGCTCAGGACAGTTTGAAAGTATTTTCATTTGGGAAAGTTTCCCCAAGCATTCATAGCTGATGCTTACATGAATGCCCATCTGTTCATGGCTAGATGCGCAGCTCAACCATAGATACAACAAATCACTATCACTCCTTGCACCAAAAACATATCTTGCATTCAGAGTCCAGTTATATTTAATAAACAACAGTTATTTGCTATTATGTGAATGTAGAGTGTTGCTGCTGGAAGATTGAAAAATTATGAACCTGTGTAAGCAAATATATCACAAACCTTCATACTTCCTTGAATGGTATAGAGGTAGAATGCAAGGATGTAAACTTTATATAAATCTGAGCTTTGAAGAGGACCTGCTGGATTCCATTAAATTGGAGCCCATGAAACAATTATTTTGGATAGCATTCACTGTTCAATTACATTCAACAGATTGCCCTGTGCAGCAGACGCTTCTCAGGGTGGATAGCAAATGTTCAAACAATTAGGAGACATAAAAATGTCAAAATAACAACAGAGCAACAGTAGGGCAAACAAGCCAGGTTAGTACACAGATTTTGGCAACCAACTATAATGATAGCAGCAAGTAAAATATGGATCACTTTAAAGGGCCCTTTAAAACAGACTGATGCAGAAGGGCATGATTTTTAAAGCAATCTGCTCCAAAGGTATTTAGGACTTAAAAAGTTAAACTGGGCTCAAAATAGAAAAGGGAATGTGTAATAAAAGCTACTGGGATTTTTGCATATCACAGCTGGAGCAGCAGACACATTTCGTGGGTTTCTAGTTGGTGAGAGGACAGATCAACTTCCCAAGTCACATGCTGTGACTCGCTCCTGAAAATTACTTTCCTGTACATACAAAATTGAGGGGGGGAAAGACACAAACCAATGTGCTAGTTATTAAATATAAAATGTAGCTTTGCCTGTCCTTTTAAAATGTCTGTTAATAACCTTTTTTCCCTGTAAACCTTTACATCTAAAGGTAACCTGAAAAACAGGTAGATCTTTGCAGTTTATACTGTCAGGTGGACTCCTCAGAAGTATTTGTTTTACCTACCATAACCATCATTATTATTTTCTTCCCTACTTTAAAAAACTAGAATCCAGTTTTACAATTGCAATCTTACACACAGTACATGCTTTTACAGTTGTAGGAGTCTTTCAAAAATTAAAACCAGCAAGTGGTAGTTAGGTTTCATTCTGAATTATAAAGAAAGTATAGATAAGATTATAGAACAGGAGTGTCAAATCTGCATCATCACAGTGACATCATGTGACATATTGGGACTTTTTTCCCCCCTTTGCTAAACTGGCCATGGGCATGGCCAGTGCATGACGCACCCAGCCCATGGGCCGGGAATTTGACAGCCCTGTTATAGGAGATTATAGAGACAATTTAATGCTTACAATTTCTCCACCCTAAAAATGGTATCTTATTTTACTTTAATGAAATCATATTAGAAGGCTAAATTAGAAAGCAATAAGGGATTCAAATCCAAAATCATTGATGAATTAGAAAAATTTAGGAAAGGCATTCAGCATTCTCATTCCTGACCTGTAAAATGACGTCAGAACTTAACAATCATTAAAACCACCTGCAATAATGAGGTGGGCTAAGGGAACTATAGCTCACAAGATATTTGCAAACATCAATTTTCATGATTTCTTGCATGATCAGGAGTTATCAAGGGAACTACACTGGACAGAATGTGAAAGACTGCAATCTCCCAACATGTGTGTTGAATAATGAATAAAGTTTATAATAACATAATAGTTCTAATGAATAATATTGTATAACTTTGCTTCCCATGGTTGGGAAATACTCCTCTTTCTGAAGCTTACTATATAAACTTTGCAGGGGAGTCTAGTATTCCTTTTGCTGCAAATCTCCTCTTATATTAAAAAATGCAAAAAGATGATGTTTTTTTATTGGCACAATCCCACCTGCAGGTGCAACAAATCTTCTAGAAATCGCTTTTCTCTTTTGAAAGCAGACAAATAGATTCATGGTATATCCATGCTGACTCAAGCTGTTTTCTTAAGAGTTGAAAAACAGAATTTATTTACTCACAGATGATACTAAGACACTTCTTCCCTAGAATTACAAGTCAAATTGTTCAAAAGGAAACTGTTTTTTACCATACTCATTCAAATACTTTTCCTTTTTATTCTTCACTACTTTCAGCTTTAACATTACTGGGCATATTCTCCACGTCTGTAAATAAATACTATAGAGGATTCTGGAAGTGAGAAATAACTACATTGAACTGCATACTTTAAGAAAAATATCATAAACTCTTCTTTGCCAGTTAGTCCCAAGACTGGAGTCCATAGAGCTTTAAGAAATAACAATCTCTAAAGCTCTTTACAAGGTTATGTTAATATCTGTCTTACAAATAACATTTTTTTCTGACACATTGTGCAAACACCTTTCTTTTTCAAAGCAATAAAAAGTTCAACTATTCTCAATAGTGAAGATTTAGTTGTAGATATGGACAGAGAAAAAATCACAGGAATACTGAGGAAAAAATGGAGTTATTTATTTTAAGAGAAACTAAAGCTGGGTGTACTCAAATCTGTATCTTGGACTTCAAAAGAGCAAATTGTGATAACTCAAAGCAATGATAAATAGATTTACATGGCTGGAAACACTTACATGGAAAAGTCCTGATGTTAGTAGTTGCTAAAACAGGAGA